AAATAACAAAATGCTTACAACACTATATTCCCTAGGCGGTCTCCATCCAAGTACTAACCAAGCCCACCATATTTGGCTTGCGAGATCGGGCGTTTTCAGGGTGGTGTGGCCGTAAGCTATTAGAAGAGTTGAAATTACAGCTGTTATTGATTTCTTCACTGCATAAATAACTTTTTGATTGATTGTTTCTTCCATCAGAAAATAACAAAATGCTTACAACACTAGATATTCCTAGGCGGTCGCCTATCAATCAATTCAATCAAATTTATTTATAAAGCCCTTTTTACAACAAAAGTTGTCACAAAGTGCTTTTACAATCACCAGCCTGAATCCGACAGAGCAAACATCAACAAGTTGAACAAGTTGACACACACGGCGGCTAGGAAAAACTCCCTGAAAGTCAGATTTAGGAAGAAACCTAGAGAGGAGCCAGGCTCTGAGGGATCACCAGTCCTCTTCTGGCTGGGCTGGGTCAGTTTATGACAGTACAACAAGCGAGTGTGAAAACTGAAACGCAAAATAGTCGGGATGTCCAGGAGGGATGATGGATTTGATAGGACTTGGAGGAAGAAGCTCGGTTGCACCAGCTGTTCTGTCAGCCGCACAGTCAGGGGCCCCAGGGAGGATCCGGCATATGCTCCAAGCTGGAGCGGTCCCCCTGACAGAAGTGGACACAAACACAGGGAAAGGTTGGACACTAGTTCCCTGTACAATAGTATGCCGAACATAATACTTTAAAAGGAGACAGGGGTTAGTGAGACAATGGCCATGAGCAGGTAAACCCAGGACAAGTCCAGACAGATGTTAGTAGAGACAGGACACAGGAAACATTAGACACCCTGGTTCCCTACGTCCCCGGCACCATAATATAGCAGCATAGATCTTAGAATGAGACAGGGGTCCAGTGAAGCTGGGGCCCTGAACAGGGTAAACCCGAAACAGGGCCCAATAGGCCGGAAAACACCCACCCACTATGCCGAGCATCAACCCAGGGACGCCAATCGACCATGACCACTCGGGCAGGTTTAGTTTTTGCTCACAAAGTTACTCGAGCTGGTGGAACAAACAAAAGAGCTATAGCGAGCCAGTGACATCCACACTCCGAGGAGCATATGGGAGGTTTAGTTTTTTGCTCACAAAGCTACTCGAATTGAGGCTGCACGGAGCACTATAGCGACCCAGTGACTCCTCCCCACAGTTAACTGGGATAATCAGAGTTTGTTCACTAGCTACTCGGATTGAGCGAACAAAGGAGAGCTATAGCGAGCCAGTGACTCCACCCCCCAGGCAGCAGCCTGGAGGTATCGTTTTTGCTCAAAAAGCTACTCGAGAGGCAACAACAGGGAACCATAGCGAGCCAGTGACTCCACCCCCCAGGCAGCAATCGAGAGGACACCCCAGGGAGATGTGAACCCGCAAGGCAAAGACAGCAGGGCGGAATGAGATCCGAGCCTTCCGTTCAACCTTCGTACCCTGGGCCATATTACACTCAACCATAGACCTTACTGAAAAGATATGTTTTTAATTGTGATTTAAAGGTTTGAACAGAATCTACATTTCTAACCCAGATTGGCAACTCATTCCATAATAGAGGAGCTCTATAGGAGAAGGCTCTACCTCCAGCTGTTTGTTTGAAATTTTAGGTACAATTAGGAGACCGGCATCCTTTGATCTAAGGTTACGCGTGGGTATGTATGGCTGGACTAATTCAGCGAGGTAGGTGGGAGCAAGTTGATGTAAAGCTTTATATGTTAACAGTAGTACTTTAAAGTCTGCCTAGCCTTAACAGGCAGCCAATGTAAAGAGGCTAAAACTGGGGTAATGTGGTCAAATTTCTTAGTTCTAGTTAAGATTCTAGCAGCCGTATTAAGTACTAATTGAAGTTTGTTTACTGATTTATCAGGGTAACCAGAGAATAGAACATTGCAATAATCTAATCTTGAGGTAACAAAAGCATGGATTAGTTTTTTCTGCATCAATTTTTGATAAATAATTTCTGATTTTTGCAATATTCGAAGATGGAAAAATGCTGTCCTTGAAATATATTTTATGTGATCGTCAAATGAGAGATCCGGGTCAAGGGTCACTCCAAGGTTTTTGACGTTTTTGTGAAATGACTATACATCCGTTTAGGTTCAGCGTAAGGTCTGTCAATAAATCTCTCTGTTTCTTAGGTCCTAAAACTAGCATTTCAGTTTTATCTGAATTTAGGAGCAGAAAATTCTCTGTCATCCACCTTCGTATATCTGAAACACAAGCTTCCATAGTGGCTAATTTAGGGGCTTCTCCATGTTTCATAGCAATATACAGCTGCGTGTCATCGGCATAGCAGTGAAAATTGACATTATGTTTTCGAATTACATTACCCAAAGGTAACATATA